AGGTGCCTCAGGCCCTAAAGCCTAAACCCAATGTAGGTGCCTTAGGGTCGAAGCATCCAACTTCCTACCCCAAACCCTACAAAAAAGAACCATTGGGTTTAGGGTTTAGGGATTATAAAGGGAACCATATTAAAACTTGTCACAAGCCTGTATAAACAAAGCCCTAAACCCGCGAGTGTGTCTTTGTTGTTGCTAGTAATGAACCTAAACCCTAAACCTCCCCCCCCAAGCTTCTTATGTCGTGGTTCATGGATGTAGAGCTGCTGGACTGCATGGAGTACCCTAAACCCTAACCCCTGGCTTAGGGTTTAGGGTTTTGGGGTTTTGGGTTCTAGGTTTAGGGTTTAAGGATCTCTTACCCGGACCACCGACCGGAAGGATCTAAAAAATGGATCCCCTAAGGAAGTTCCTGTAAAGTGCCCCTTAGTAGTATAGGGTCCCAAATTAGGGGATCCACTGTTTAAATCCTTCCGGTGGTCTGGGTTTGGGGGCATGTGGTCTAGAGTCTGGGGTTGCAAAACCGTAAGGGTCCAAGCCTCAAACAGTGGGGCGTTAGGGTTTAGGACTTTGGGTTCCTCAATACTATAGGGTTTAGGGTTTAGGGTTTAGGGTTTACTCTGAATTCTGAAAGGTTTTTGGCACCCCAAAACCTTACGAGCTTATGGGGTTAAGGGCTTGGGGCTTGGGGTTGTAGCTTCAGAATTCACGGCTCAGGGGGACGGTGGGTGGAGAGCCGGGCTCGGCCTCACCCTCGACCCGATGGGTAGTTCTCTAAATTAGGGTCCCGTTTTAGGTCCCCAATACCCTTAGCATCAAAATAGCCCAAAAGCCTTATATAATAGGGTCTTTGGGCCCAAAAGCCTTAAAATATGAGTCCTTCGATGCTAAGGGATATAGTACGGCACCCTTATAAAAAGGACCCTGAAGGGGATCCTTAGTTTAGAGAACTACCCAGGTTTTACCCTAAAACCCTAAACCGTCCTGCTTTGACAAGCACGACTCCTTGCCGTGGCCGCGGGAGGTGCCCACTTGATCTTCCGCAGCGGTGGTGGGATGGGTGTGGCAATACCCGCAGGAAACGGGTTTAGGGGTTTAGGGTTTAGGGGTTTAGGGTTTAGGGTCTAGGGTTTAGGGGTTTAGGGTTTAGGAATCCCTCCCAAATTTAAGCCTTTAAACTTGCTGAGCCGGAACTTGCTGCACCGGCTTGTGAAAACATATTCTTGGCTCGGCTGCCTCCGTATCAGGATACAGCGGCATCCGCCAGACACTAGCTTACAGACTAGTGGTCTGGGATTGTCCCCAAAGAAACCATGAGTAGAATGGTCTTACGCGGCCGAATGCCATAGTGGTAGTATATTTGAACCCTCTAAATGGGGCGGCAAGAGTCTCATTCCAAAACTGCGTGATGTTGATTTTCGCCGAATTGCCCTGAACCCTAGACTCCTAGTTCTAGACTCCTAAACCATAAACTCCTACACCCTAAACCCTACCCTCAACCCTAGATCCTAAACCCTAAACCCACAACCCTTGACCCTACAAGCCCTACCTGTGACCCCAAACCCTACAAAATACTAGGTTATGACCCCGTACATAAAGGGCAGAACCCTTAAAACGGTAGGTTTTTTGGATCCCCAGGTAAACCCTAAACCATAATCTCTAAACCCTAAAACCTAAACCCTAAATCCTAAACACTAGGCCCCCCTATAAACCCTAAGCCCTCAACCCCGGAACCTCAGGCCTGCAGCGGAAAGGTGATGACTGTGGCCAACGCCTTCGCCAGGGCACCAATGAAGAAGGCCTCCAAAAGTTCTACTTCAAGCGCTTTTACGGGGTTCCTTTAAAGGGTTCTATAGGTTTTTGGGGTTTAGGGTGGGTTTCTTTTAAGGGTACTATATCATGTTGGCCTTATGGGCCCCCCCAGCATGAGCCCCCCCAGGGCATATCCTTATTCTCCCCTATTTGTTCGTCCCTCCTGGCCACATCTGTCCTTAAATGTTACTAAAAGTCCTTATTTGTTGTTATTATGTTGTTATTTGCAATAATTTGTCTTTGTTTGGTGTTCTTATTCTGTGCACGTATTCCCAGCATTCTCCGGCGCCTCTCCACAGCTTGCGCTATGGCGCCATGAGCAGTGACAAAACTATCGTCCAAGCCAGCAATCATGAACAAAAAACAACCGAGCCCTCGATCCTGAAAACTGAACCCTGCACGCATTGACCCGATGGATTTTGACTAGTGTCAGTTCACGAATCCATGAAATGAAGGCCCATTGGGAGCCGGTCACAGACCCAGCATGTTGGCCCGCCAATCCCAAAACCCCAAACCCTGACCCCGGAAGCCGTACATCCTGTCTACTGTTGGTTTTCGTGCTCGCCTCGCCGCGCGGTGTTTGCCCGCAATGTTGGCGGACTCGACATATCCCTTCCATTCAGAGTGCGGCTTGGCTCAGAATGTCCGTCCTTGATATGCAACGTTGGATTTACAATTTGTAAGTAGCCTGGGCCTGGTGCCCTTCAGTGAGGTCACTTGAAATTTGGCAACATTGCCACACTCATCGGATGGGCTGCCCGCAGATCCCAGGGATCTACGAACAATCTTCAATGTCAGTGGTCTATCTTTAGCATCTGGAGTTTGCTGCGGGCTTTCTTCCAGGGCGATGGCAATGATTCTGATTCAGCAAGCGATGATCTGCAGCAGTCCAGATCAGATCTCCAGAAAAAAGCTCGCAACCTCAGACGCACTACTAGACTAGTTTGAATGGCTGCCTTGGCACGGTTCATATCTCACATAAAGATTGCTCAGGTAAGTGGAAGGCCAAGAACATGAAGTCCTGGGAAGCGTGGCACGACAAGATATGGCCGGGTCAGCAGGTCCAACTCCTAACACCCCTGAGTGGCAGGTCCGGCGGACCTTCCAAGAAAACAGCAGACAATGCATTCTTTCTTGAAGGCACCCTGCCCACCTCTGTTTTCATATCAGCCATGGCGCAGCAGTGCGCGGCACCAAAGATGAACCCAAAGTTCCGCGATGCTGCGTGCAGATGTTTGTTCGAGCTTTTGGGCGCCATCTTTCGCACAGGGCGTGTGCGGTTGACCTTGGATTCACACTCTGATGCTGGGGGCCACCCTGCACGGATAGATGTTCCGATTTCCTGCTCCGTCCCATCTTCTGTGGTGTTGGCAGCCGGTTTCAGTCGGGGTATTGAGATTGAGCTTGAGTGCTAGCACAGACATGGCAATGTGCCTGTAGACTCATGGGGTGACACCAGGACGCTTCAAAATCTTGGGTGGTTGGTGCGTGGAGCGACAGCCTTCACCTTGCCTCCGTGCTGGTCTTTTGTTTGGACCCGAAACATGGCTGCCTACATTACATGACATTTGGTGACTGACTGACAAAAAAATGACACATAGGGGTTGTGCTTCGGCTAAGGAGACACAGCTACGCGGAGACGAACTACCACCCAGTAGCCCTGCCTGTTCTGGGTCAGCTTGCTTTCTTCCTAGACTCCGGGCATATGGAATAAGTAGTATTTTCGTTGCTTGCCAGTTGCTGCTTCAGTCCTGCCGTGGACTCACATATCTCAGCAACATTGGAACATGCGAGCAGTCAGGACACCCACTTCGAGGACGTCATGACCTCTGCTCCGCGGAGGACGTTCAGGACAGCTGCTAAGTTTCGTCAGCGCCTCAATGCTGGCATGCTCTGGGGAATCATCGCTCGGGTGAAGTCCTGCGCGGAACCTTTCTAGCACATAGCCATGTGGATTGTTTGCCTCGTTCTGGTTGAGAAAGCTCCTCAACAACTAGAAAGAAAATAGACCTCACTGAGGACCACCTGCTCTCCGCAGCCTTCAAGCAGCATGAAATGTTCAAGGACAAGTCCCGGGACGCAATCTCTGCCCAGTGCTTGCATACAGCCCAGAAGTACTCTGTGGCTCGTCCGAAGCAATGGATTCAATCTTTTGCGTTAAATTCAAGCTCGCAGTGTCAACCAGCTAGGTTGCATATCTGGCAGCAGCTCAGCGAGAAGTCGGTCCTGAGATACACAGACATGTCTTCGGCCCAGTCAAAGTAAAGCTTCTACGCCCTGGCTACCCTTCCCTCGACAAGTCCTGCTGCCTAGGTTGCATTTGATGGCACATCCCTCGGCAAGGCACCGTTTGAAGGCTACGCTTGGCATTGTCGACTTCCCAGTTTGATTTTGACTCGAAACCCAGCCTCAACACGACGTACCTAACTCCGGGGGATATTGTATGCCTAGGTCCGGCCATCGACCTGGCTTGTTTCGGACCACCAATGGCTCCTCGGCTTGAAAATAATTGGATGCCAACACACCAGACTTGGAACAGCCGGTGACATGACATAAGCATGCTCAGATGAGTTTCTTTCACAGTGCAGAGTCCGCTTGGGAGCACAGGCCCACATGTCATGCCGCTAGCTGCGAGCTGTCCAGAGATTTCTTACGAACGCTAGCAGTTAGTTCTTGCGGCTGCGTGAATGCACGCAGCTGTGCATCATGGCGGCCTTGAATCTTTGGCCGGATGAGAGTACAGCACACTCTCCCGCGTCAAGTCCCGCCTCGGCGTCAGTTGCCGAGATTCCTACATCCCAGCTCTCAGTCGAGAAAGAGGAGCGACGAAGACAAGAGCAGAGATGGAATGTCAGTCGTTGCCGTGTCTGATCAGTCAAGCATGACAGCATAATCAACAGGGTTACGTATCCATTTCAACTTCGCCAGGAGTCTTCTTGGTGTCGCCTGGCATTGGCTTCCAATTCCATTGCTGTGGCCTGGAGCTTGACGAAAAAGATTGTTCACGGGCTGGAGGAGCCAAGCCGCTCAACGAGTCGAGTCCTAACACTTGAATTAAATTAAATACAGGCTGAATCCTGAACACAGAATCCTGTTATAATTACATCCCACAAAACCGAAAATCGTAAACTCGAGACTGAACTCGCGAAACCGTACACCCTAGATCCTTGACAAACAAATAAGCCTTGCAGGACTCCTGGCTCAACCACGCTCGAACAGCTCTGAGCATGTGCTCAGGGTCAGGCACTGCAGAGGCAGCCCGATCTGTCGTGCAAGCAGTAGTTCAGAAGTGGCCTGCGCCGGGCAATGTTTCGATGGATATTCGAACCGTGGCTTGGTGGGTTCCTTGGTTCAGATTCAACTCCTGTAGCAGTTGTTGCTAGCTGGCATAATGATTTATGAGACCTGGTGCTAGACCCAGCCTGAAAACAAACCCCGACTAACACCAGTGACCCCAACAAAGGAGCAAGCCCACGAGTGTCACCAGCTACTATACGACAACCACTTGTGGTGCAACAGCGTTGTGCAGTATGAGCACGAGACCCCACATCTGTTTTACGACGTCATGAGCCTTTACAAGCCCAATCTGTTCGTCGCTGGAACAGGGTACAGAAAGAAGCGTCGAATCCTCATGAAAGCCAACGTGAGCCAATGCCTGGACTGCGGCACACACTCTGTCGCAGACAGCGACTTCAGGTGTTTCGCACCTTACGCCGACATGTCCGTGTCAGGCCTCCCCTGCACCGATATGAGTAAGATGGGCTATCAATTGAAACGCGAGGGCGAGACTAGCGCTGTTTATATCGCCCATGGGCGGTTTGTTCAGGAAAGGCGCGTGCCTCTTCTCGTGCTGGAGTGCACGCCGGATGCTTGCCTCAGGGTAGCGTGTACGGTCTGTGGTGGGAGCTAGGGATGCTAGTTTCAGAACGACACGAATGAAGTGTGTGTTGCAATGTCAGGTTCTGATTTTGTAACGAGTCAAGGACTTGGACATGGGCATGGTCGAGGACACCCACCCGGACTTCGACTGGTACCAGTTGTTCATGACTCCAGGCGACACAGGACATCGTGGAATGGCCAGGGACAGGACATACGTGGTGGGCTGCCACAACCAACGCACCACCTGCAAGCACGACATGGAGCAGCTCCTGCAAGCTTTCTCGAAGCGCATGAGTCGGAAAGTTCAGACAGTGCCCTCGGATTACTTTTTTGCGGACCAGGTAGAAGTATCCTTGGAAGCGCGCACCCTTGCCGAGCGCAGGGGCATCGAATTCCGGCCCGGCGTTTTCGACCTGACATACCTTTTGTCGGAAGCAGAAAGGCGCCGTCTCAATCGCTACGTGTCGGACTTCCAGCAGAAGTTCGGCCGTGATGCGTGCCAGGACCGCGACCTAGTCGTGTTTCTCGGCGACGATCCGGACAAAGGATGGCGAACCTGGTCAGCTACCTCGGCGGCTATCCCGACTTTCCGCAGGAACGTCAGGACGGGGCTCATGTGGAGCCCGTACTGGCGCAGGTGGCTCACTCCACGCGAGAAGCTGGCGGCTATGGGCTGGCCGGTCTTGCCAGACATGGCAGCAGCGATGCAGTGCAGTGTAGTTCCAGCGAGGGATGTTTTCAGAGCAGCAGCATTGGCTGGGAATGCCATGCATTTCAACTGCGTGGCATGGGCACAGCTGCTGGCGCTTGCCTGCACGGCCCCGATGACAGGGCTTCACTTCGGCTTAGGCTATTGAAGGTGGCAGGGTCGGTGAGTAGTCTAGGCAGACACAGTGCGTATGAAGACAAGCGCAAGCACATTATGGTGATCCAGCGAAGAACACTACCACCATCAGCCGAATGCCTCCTCCTGTTGCACAGATTTGACTTCTTTGGGAGGCATGTAAGAAAGTTGTCATCCGCTGCGTGATGCTTTGTGTAGTGTCCTGTGGATAAGCGTCATTCCATTTGCCCGTGGGAGACTCTCAGTTGCTGCGCAGTCGCATGTTAAAAACTGTGTGGCTCTAGAAGCCTGTGTATTCAGAGTAGGTCTACGACTCGTGTGCGGCAAGGGTGCCTTCAGTCATGTCGTCCTTGCGATTCAATTTTGATGATGGGGAGAAGGAGGAGTCCAGCTCAGATTCGGAGGCCAGCTCCGACTCAGGCGAGAACGACTCCGAACGCGAGGCGGATGAGTCCTCCTCTTCCGCTGAAGATGAGAAGAAGGGGGCCAAGAAAAAGCCAAAGGCAAAAGCAAAGACCAAGACGGCCAAGAAGAAGGCCGTGAAGAAGGTCACGGAAAAGAAGAAGGGCAAGAAGAAGAGCAAGAAGCCGAAGTCCATCAAAAGCCGTTGTTCCAACAAGGGAGATGACCAGATCATGCGTTTCAGATGCTGGCGTGTGGTGCCGGACACCTGGCAAAAGTTAGGCCCATTGCAAAACCTTGCTGTTGATGGTTTTGACTAATCCTACTTTCCAATCCCCCGAAATCCAGAGCCTCATGTCAAGGGGGTTTCGGTTGGTTGAGTTCGAAGAGAGGCCCAGGGATGCCGAGAGTCAACTTAAGGTGTCCGGCCTCGGTCACCTTAACTTGAACCAGTCCAACGGCAGAGTCAAGCCGTTGGACTTAACAATACAGGGTTCAGGTCAGGGAGAGGGAGGGGGATGATGCTCATGATACTCGCTTTGATTTCGCCCCAAACCCGGCTGATGCTCATGATGCTCGTTTCCTGTGGG